GGGGGCGGCCCCTCTGGCCTCGCGCACGCGCGTTCGGCCCGTAAACTGGCGGCTTTGAGAAGGTCGCTCCTGAGCGGCTGCTTGTGCGTTCGCTCTCCAAAACCTGGTCAGTCCATGGTTTTGATGGAGTTGCTCCAAGGGACATGCCCCTGTTGGTTGTACCAGCAATTACTAACTCAAGTCTGCATCTGGCAGAATTTGAGATTGAAGAGTGAAAAGTGAGCATCCCTCGTTGGTATCCGAAAGTCGACTTTTTCACCCTCAAAGGGCCCCAGAGTATGGGGAGGGGGTGTTATATGGGGTGACTGGGACTTCGGCTTTGGAGCCAAAGCTTACCAGCTCTGTGACCTTGGACCAGCTCTGAGAGTCGCAGTTTCTTCATTTGTGAGCTGAATAGGAGAATCCCTGCCTGAGGAGTTGTGGCTGGGAGTAGGAGGAGTGAGGCAATAGATGTAAGTCCTTTGCTGGTTGCTTCAACCAGAAACTCTCAACCTTGGTTATTAATGTTGTTTTAAGTGTGCAGGTAAGATGGAGAGATACAGATAAATAAAAATTATTTAAGCCCATTTCTCAAGCGATGACTGCGATACTCCCTTGAGAGTAACTTCCTTTTTGGCCACTTTCACAGCCATGATCACTGTGCCATCATTCTTGACCACCTGAACTACTTAGTAAGATCCTTGCTTCCTGACCTGACTCTGGCCCCCTAGGGAAGCTCAGAGGTAAAGGACTGCTTGGTGGGACAATGTGGACGTTGTCTGGAATCTGTCCGATGGTGACTTACCTTCCCATCTTCCACGGATTGAAGCCCTTTCTAGGGCCAAACCAAAAAAAAAAAAAAAAAACCTCACTGCCATGGAGTTGATTGCCCAGTCTTCCTTCCCAGGAGTGCCTAGTCGGTTTGAACCACCAGCCTTCTGGTTGGCAGTCAAATGCCTTAGGCACTACACCACCAGAGCTTCCCTTTCTAGGGCAATGGCTTGTTAATTATGGTATCCAAGTGCCTGGTAACATTTCTGGCATATAGTAGGATGGCAGGTCCTTTGAATCAATCAATCAATGAAGGTATCTGGGACAGAGGTAATATTGCTGTTTAGATAATGCCCATCTACCCCTCCCCAACCTTTCTGCCCTATTCTAGCCTCAAAATAGTGTAATAAAACTCCTCTTCCAGAAATAGAGTTAAGATTAAGCTCTCTCTGAACAATTGGTTGAGATGTAATTAATATATAATGGGCTGTACATATTTAAAGTGTACAATTTTATACATTTTGACAAATGTATATACCTGTGAAAAAATACTATAATAAATCTCTATTTTTAATTAATGGCACTTATATTTATAATATAAATACAATATTTATATTGTTTTAGAAATATAATACATGCTCATTGTGGAAAATGCAGAAATGAATAAAGAATAAAATAAAAAGCATTGTAATTCTACCATTCAGAGATAACCATTGGTAAGATTTTATTGTATTTCCAAATAGGTCTTTATTTTTTCAGCTATGCATTATTTTTCTTACATGATGAGGTTATATGGCATATAAAAATTTCTATCCAGAATCTTTTATATTCCAATATGATTAATAATTCTTCTCTCCCATCATGAGGCAGATTGTATACCATTTTTCTTTGTTTTAAATAAAACATTGATAAATAACTTTGATATTTATATGTACACAAATCCTTTCCCACATACTTGATCATTTCCATAGGATAAATTTCAGGTCTTTTTTTTTTTTTTAAGTTGTGCTTTAGCTGCAAATTTACAGAGCAGAATTTTACATTCAACATATTGTGTACATTTGGTTTCACTCCCCTATTACCATCCTCAACCCTAACCCACTCTCCTCTCCCTTCCCAGTAAACCCCCACCCCTGTGCCCTTCATAGTTATAGTTATGCACTCCTGTGTGTTCTGCTTTTCCTCCATGTGAATGTTGCCCCTCTGGTGCCCTGTGGTCAGTCGCTCCAAGGGATGTATTTCCATAGAGTATGTGGGTGCGTCTCCCTGGGTTGAGAGGTCTGCTTGTACATCTTATTTACTGTTGGGCTGAGAGCCAGCCCTTGGGAGTGAGTTTTATTGCAGGCCCAAAGTATATCCCAGGGCCATAGTATTGGAGGTCCCACCAGACTCCATCCAACCAGTAATTCTGGTCTTGTTGTGTTTTTGGGTTTTGTTCCACGTTTTCCCTTCCACTCTATCCAGCATCTCCAGTTTTGATCCCTTCCCAAGTGGTTGGTATTGGTAGCCGGGCACCATCTAGTTCTTCTGGTCTCAAGGTCCATCATGTCCTAGGGCTGATTGTTTCTAAATGCCCTTGGTTTTTTGCACTCTTCTTTGCTTCTGACAATAGGAGTGGCATCTTAGATGGCTGCTCAAAAGTGTTTAAGACCCCAGTTACTACTCACCAATGTAGATTGTGGAACAAGGTTTTTATGTATTTTGTTGTGCCAGTTGAGTCTGGTGTCCCCCAGTACTATGGTCCTGAGTCGGTAGATCTGTTGGATCTCTCTCCCACAGTGTCTGGCTGTCTGTGAGGGATTGCTCTATGTCTGCCTTCTGTTGTTTCTGTAAGGATTGCATGTATTTTGTATCACTGGTATCTGTGAAAGATTAGCCTCAGCTGAATCTATCCTTGGTCTAGAGTATAATCTTGTTCACCGACCCCCATCCAGTCTTCTCAGATGTTTATGTGTTTATCTGTAGCCTAGTGTTTAGTGTTAATGGTAATACAGTATTGTGGATATACTGGTATTAGCCTCTGTCGTCTGTATCTTATGTGCACAATTCAGGTCTTTGGACCAGACTAATAGGAATTTGCATTTCCACCTCAGATATACTGAATCAGAATGTACATTTTAATGAGATCCCCAAGTGATAAGAAGCAAACCAGAATGAAGCAATTTGAACAAACCAAACCCACTGTCATCCAGTCGATTCCAACTCATAGTGACCCTTTAGTACAGAGTAGAACTGCCCTATATGGTTTCCAAGTTTGTTTCAAACCCACCAGACACTCAGAAGGAAGACTGGGCAATCTACTTCTGTAAAGATTTACCCCTTGGAAACCCAGAGTGGGTCACTGTGAGTTGGAATCTGTTGTTGTTGTTGGAATCTACTTGATGGCAATGGGTTTGGTTTGGTTTGGAAGTCTTTACCAAAACAGACTGCCTCATCTTCTCTCATGGAGTGGCCAGTGGGTTTGAAACAGGACCTTTTGGTTAGCGGCCAAATGCTTTAACCACTGTGCCACCACAACTCCTTAACCGGTTTGAAGACCTGGAAGAATTACCATAAGAAGATTTGTGTCAAAGTGTATATTTGCTTTTCCCTTTTTTGTTCTTTTCAAAATAGAAAAATCTTTACTATTTTCTCAAAGTAAAAGATAGTATACCCTTGTTGTAAATCATTTTAACAATACAGATATGATAAACTAAGATGGTGCCTATAATTCTCTTCTCCTTGCTGCTTTACCCCACTCTACCCTGAACCTAACCATTATTAAAAATTAAGTTTATGAGCATGAAGGAACTCTAGGGGGTGATGAAAAAGTCCTAAGACTGCATTGTGATGATGGTTGCATAACTGTAAAAATTTTCTAAAATTCATTGAGTTGTGTACTTAAAATGGGTGAATTTTATGGTATATAAATTATACATCAAAATGTATAAAATGTGTTTTAAAATAGATAGATCTATTTCTATACCTTACTAGATTTTTTTCTGTACATATACTTTTTGAAAATACTCAAATACTATCACCTGATATCTATAATTATATAAACAGCTTGTTTTTCCACTTTCAATGAATCATGGACATCTTTCCCATGCCAGTACAGATATATCTACCTAATCCTTTTTAATTGCTGCATAGAGTCCCAGTGCATAGTGTACCATAATTTATTTAAGTATTTCTCTATTGGTAGGCATTTAAATTGTTTCCCATTTTTTGCCGTCATAAACAACACTGCAGAGAACATGCATATGCAAGCATCTTTGTGCATTTGTCTGATTATATTTCCATAAGATAAATTTCAAGAAGTGAAACTGCTGAGTCAAGGGGTATTTTTAAAAATTTTTACCTGTATTGCCAAATCGGACTCTAGAAAGGTTGTACCAATATATACTTCCACTAACAAAGTATGAGAATGCCAGGTTCCATACACCCTCAATAACACCAAGATACTGTCCATCTTCTAATCTTTGTCAAATGATAGCCCGAAGTAACCTCTCATTTTAATTTGCAATTCTCTGTTAGTCAGAGAATACCTTTCATATGTCTATAAGCCATTTTTATTATTTTATGAATTACCTCCTCATATCAAGGAATAATATCAAATGATATTGTTAATATTCTATAAAGGAGGTGATCAAGTCTAACATTCTTCAGTAAAATGATCATGGGGTTGGTAACAACTTCTATATCTTCACTATGGAATTATGACAACAAATCATTTCGTAATGCTGGATGAGATGCCATTTAGATAAATTC